AAGCGAATTTCTGGCGCTTTAACCGGGTTGATGGAAGTTCCGTGAAATAGTGTTTTAACCAGTGCCTTTTTGTAACAGTGTGAACAAAAGCTATTGAAACTGAGACAAATCTCATTCCATGTGTCTTTTCTATTAGCTGAACGTTGGACTGTGCCATTGTTTCTTCGTTTTATTACGATATCGAGAAAATGGAACTTGTTTCCATTTTCATATTCCATAGTAAACTGGATATTTGTATGAACTTTGTTGAGAAGTTTCTGTAGATTTGTTGAATGTTGTAGATTATTACAGACGATGTATGTGTCATCAATGTACCTCGAATAACACACCGTTTCACTAATCGTTCCTTTGAGCTAGTTCATTCGAAATTAGCCATGAAAAGTCTGCTAAAACAGGATCTAACGGAATTACCGTTGTTACAACATCAGTTTGTCGGTATATATATTGATGTACCTGCTATCTATTAATACCAACATCAAGGTCATCAGAAATTTATACTCAGATGACAAACATTAACCAAGAAGATAGTAAACAAATAAATAAAGAAAGTATAAATAAGGAAGAATGATATATGTGATTATGTATTTAGGCGGAAGACTGAAAATGCCCTGGTACGGCCGAGAGTGGGGAGAGTCCGCTCTCCCTCTCGAAATGCTCTCACATGGCCACGCGTATATAGCCCCTGCTAGGGAAGTCCTACTCACTGCCTTCTCGTGGCGGGGGTGTTGTTTACGAAATTCGAGAGGACGAAAAGCGAATTTCTGGCGCTTTAACCGGGTTGATGGAAGTTCCGTGAAATAGTGTTTTAACCAGTGCCTTTTTGTAACAGTGTGAACAAAAGCTATTGAAACTGAGACAAATCTCATTCCATGTGTCTTTTCTATTAGCTGAACGTTGGACTGTGCCATTGTTTCTTCGTTTTATTACGATATCGAGAAAATGGAACTTGTTTCCATTTTCATATTCCATAGTAAACTGGATATTTGTATGAACTTTGTTGAGAAGTTTCTGTAGATTTGTTGAATGTTGTAGATTATTACAGACGATGTATGTGTCATCAATGTACCTCGAATAACACACCGTTTCACTAATCGTTCCTTTGAGCTAGTTCATTCGAAATTAGCCATGAAAAGTCTGCTAAAACAGGATCTAACGGAATTACCGTTGTTACAACATCAGTTTGTCGGTATATATATTGATGTACCTGCTATCTATTAATACCAACATCAAGGTCATCAGAAATTTATACTCAGATGACAAACATTAACCAAGAAGATAGTAAACAAATAAATAAAGAAAGTATAAATAAGGAAGAATGATATATGTGATTATGTATTTAGGCGGAAGACTGAAAATGCCCTGGTACGGCCGAGAGTGGGGAGAGTCCGCTCTCCCTCTCGAAATGCTCTCACATGGCCACGCGTATATAGCCCCTGCTAGGGAAGTCCTACTCACTGCCTTCTCGTGGCGGGGGTGTTGTTTACGAAATTCGAGAGGACGAAAAGCGAATTTCTGGCGCTTTAACCGGGTTGATGGAAGTTCCGTGAAATAGTGTTTTAACCAGTGCCTTTTTGTAACAGTGTGAACAAAAGCTATTGAAACTGAGACAAATCTCATTCCATGTGTCTTTTCTATTAGCTGAACGTTGGACTGTGCCATTGTTTCTTCGTTTTATTACGATATCGAGAAAATGGAACTTGTTTCCATTTTCATATTCCATAGTAAACTGGATATTTGTATGAACTTTGTTGAGAAGTTTCTGTAGATTTGTTGAATGTTGTAGATTATTACAGACGATGTATGTGTCATCAATGTACCTCGAATAACACACCGTTTCACTAATCGTTCCTTTGAGCTAGTTCATTCGAAATTAGCCATGAAAAGTCTGCTAAAACAGGATCTAACGGAATTACCGTTGTTACAACATCAGTTTGTCGGTATATTACATTATTGAACTAAAACTGAACATCTTTTGTAAACATGATTTACAGTCGTTTGAGTTCCAGTGCTGATAGAGATAGGATGTCAGAATGCTGACCAATTATGTCAATGGTTTCAGAATTTTCAATAAACTTCAACATACATATAAAGGTGATACTGATTACTATTTATTGTTAGAATGTACGAGCATGGTGCAATAAACAATCAAATACAGTCAAAATAATCCTCTGATTAGTTTCTAGTCAACTTGCAAAAGAAAAGCTTACATGAGAACGTGTCGAAAATGTATTTAAAAATGGTAACGCAATGTTGTTGCAAAGTTTGCCAACAGCATAAAAGTTAGATAAAACGTGTTAACATTGATTTGAATAGAATCATAACAACTAAAATGTTTGTGTTGTGTCGAATTTCACTTTTTCTTTTTACTATATTCATGGAAAACGCCAATACTGATACAAATGAGACACTAAAGTGTAAAATGAAAACAAAACCGGCATTCTTGTGTCTAGGTGTTGTTTATGTGCTCCAAGAACCTCACGACTCAGCTAAAATTCATTGATTCCATTTGTTTTTTTGGAAATGTTGTTATTATTTTAGCTCCACGTTCTTTGGTCAAATGTGAAAAACATACGTCCGATAATTCATTTGCAAATTCTTCATCAATTGTCTCAAGCTTCATCGTTTCTTCGTTTTCATAACTACTGCTCTCTGTTCCTATTCTCTTTGATTCGATCTTCCCAGTCTTCTGCTGCTAAGCATCCCACTTCTCGTTGATGTTATATACTACTTATGTCGACATAAGTAGCATGCACCACATTACTACATTATAAGACTGCTTGAATAATAGCTTCATTTGAGTGAGGGTTCATATTATGGCGTCCCAATTAAATGAATGGGGTTTGTAAGCTAACTCACATGCCAACTGACACTCCCATTAGGTGATGTGGTCGAATGCTTTGTAGAATGGTTTGTAGTGAGCGAAAAAACAGAAATCTCAACTTTCACAGATTCCTGAAAGTATTATCAAACAGAACAGATTATCATAAATTATCTTCAAAGTATTCTATAACTTGATACATTATTTTGCAAACGTCTTTAGGAAAATACTGGTAGTTGTTATGACTTATGTGAGGATTATTGATTCGGATGTGCCTACCTTAATACTAATAGAAGCTAGCGAATCCTAATATGCCACCACTGTTATTCACAGGATTATTCTATTCGTCTTGTTAAAACCAGCGTTAGACTAGTATCTAGACTAATGGTGTTTGCATTGCCACGAAATTAGTCTATCAAGAGGTGAATAAGGAATGTTTAATTTAAAATAAAACTCTGCTGGTAGTTTATTAATTCGTTGTAAGTGTGAGATAAATTCATATTGGTAAGTTCCTGATAATCCAAAACGACCGCTACACTTTTCCGAAAGGATAAAGATTTTGAGTGTCAAAAAAAATGTTCAAAAAAGTTTAATGAACCAACTTCTGTTTGAAGTTTTTGATTCTCTGAATAAAACTCAGTTTCTAAAGTCTGTGGAATATTGATTCCTGATGCTGAAGACTAGTCCCTACATTAGAACCAGTCATCAGATCAGCAACTGTTTAAATTTATTCTTTGTTAATTTTAACAATTCAACAGTTAGTCATTATGTATTCTAAAATAGTACATATTATTCTGATGTTGGGATGTGCATCATTTCTAGTTGTACATAGTAAATTCGTCGTCTTCTTGTTGAGCTGAGACTGGCAAAATATCACTAGTTGAAAGTATGAGTCAACTGTAAACTTGGCAGGCATTATTTAAGTTCGTGATTACTAACGATATCAGTTTCACTATTTAGTAATAATTAAATTATTTGTTTAGAGAGATAAATTTCTTCTAAAGTAGAAGTACGGATAAATACTAAATGTTTGTTTATTCTCTTAATTTTATACTTAAATATCTAGAAAACATTAGGTAGAATAAAGTAAATACTCAATGAAAAATCTAAAATCATTGAAGTACTTTGTGCAGTTTCAATGACCCAGGACGTATTAGTCTACCCACAAAACCACTTTTGATACAAACAAATAAATTATTATTATAGATGTGAACTAAACAACTAAGATATTAATAATATTAAATGTATCAATATCACTATACATCTATACAGCTATATAAAAAAAATTTGAGTTGAAAGTTAATGAATAAAAGACTACATATAAACTGGAAATATACTTCGATTGAATTGATATCAGTAGGTAACTTAACAGAAGAATCATCATCAAAACAAAAATGAACAGAACCATGACAAAGGAAATCATCATCAGTGAAATTAGGAATTCTTATATTGCCCCTCAAATCTCCTGGCATGGCCGATATTGGGAATAGTCCGCTCTCCCTCCCGAAATACTCTCACATGGCCAAGCGTATACAACCACTGACAGGGAAATCCTACTAACTGCTTTTTCTAGCCGAATGTTTAGTCTACGAAATTTAGAGAACGAAAAGTGAATGCCCAACGCTTTAACCGGGTTCGTGGACACGGAGAATCCACTTAAGGGAGTTGGAAAACCATAATTCACAACCAATAGTACACATGGTTTCCAGTATCCTGAAAGAATAAATGGCGTATGAACCTATTGTTGATCACCGGCTACCATGAAACTGCATTTCCTGATGTTACTTCACTGCCTTGTGGATAAGGCATTTAGGTTGAAGACTTCACATGTGGCCCCCTAAGAAAATCATCTAATTCGGTTTAAGCATCCAAAGAATATCCTAGCCCTCACATAAATCGAATAACTTTTATGGCTCATATCTAATTTTACATGAATAAAATATTGATTTATTTGTCATAATTAAATAAAGAGAACCAATTGAATGAAACAATTCAATTATTTGAACTGCACTTGATAATTGTACAATTTCAAGTAAACCTTTCAAAAGAAAACACTTTGTAACCATCATTAATTCTTCAAAATAGATTAGAAAGAGAACAAAAAATAAACAACCAAGGTGTAAATTTCCAAATGAAAAATAGATTGTAATTAAACATTCAAGAAATAAGACAATCCATCTTATTATAGAAAATATTTATCACATAATTGTTTCACAAAAATATTGATATAACAATTTTCTGTATTACATGAATAAAGGTGTTGACAACATTTAAATAATCTCAATATTATTACTTTATTATAATCATAGAAAGGAATATAATTCATCAATGAATGACAATCATTCTCGTGAACAGGATGACAATTGTGATAATTATCATCATCTGAATTTCCAAAAACAGGTAATTCAGAAGAAGAAGAATAATAATCAAAGTGAGAATCAAAAGAAATGGGATTATTTAAAGTATCAGAGTTGAAATTAGGAAAATCAATATCAGGAGTAAGCAAATCAGAATCAGAAATATTGGGAACAACAAAAAGATCATCATTCGATGAAACAAAAGACACAGATGAATTATAAGAACATCCATCATCTGAATAAAAACCAGAAGTAAACATTGAAGACGCCGATAGATTAGAGCTCAGTGGGAGAGAAGTAAAAATTGGAACAGGTTGTAATGTTGATGATGGTTGTAGGTATTGTGTTGTAATGAGTGGTGTTTGAGTGGTGGTCGATGTGGATTGTGTGGTGGACTGATTGTAGACTGGTGGGACTGCAGTGACAACTGGAACTGGTTGTAATGTTGATGATGGTTGGACGTATTTTGTTGTATAGATTGAAGATTCAGTGTTCGTCAATATTCCATTAATGCTATATTCAGCGTCGCTTGATTTGTTGGACGTGACAATTGGAACTGGTTGTAATGTTGATGATGGTTGTAGGTATTGTGTTGTAATGAGTGGTGTTTGAGTGGTGGTCGATGTGGATTGTGTGGTGGACTGATTGTAGACTGGTGGGACTGCAGTGACAACTGGAACTGGTTGTAATGTTGATGATGGTTGGACGTATTTTGTTGTATAGATTGAAGATTCAGTGTTCGTCAATATTCCATTAATGCTATATTCAGCGTCGCTTGATTTGTTGGACGTGACAATTGGAACTGGTTGTAATGTTGATGATGGTTGTAGGTATTGTGTTGTAATGAGTGGTGTTTGAGTGGTGGTCGATGTGGATTGTGTGGTGGACTGATTGTAGACTGGTGGGACTGCAGTGACAACTGGAACTGGTTGTAATGTTGATGATGGTTGTACGTATTTTGTTGTATAGATTGAAGATTCAGTGTTCGTCAATATTCCATTAATGCTATATTCAGCGTCGCTTGATTTGTTGGACGTGACAATTGGAACTGGTTGTAATGTTGATGATGGTTGTAGGTATTGTGTTGTAATGAGTGGTGTTTGAGTGGTGGTCGATGTGGATTGTGTGGTGGACTGATTGTAGACTGGTGGGACTGCAGTGACAACTGGAACTGGTTGTAATGTTGATGATGGTTGGACGTATTTTGTTGTATAGATTGAAGATTCAGTGTTCGTCAATATTCCATTAATGCTATATTCAGCGTCGCTTGATTTGTTGGACGTGACAATTGGAACTGGTTGTAATGTTGATGATGGTTGTAGGTATTGTGTTGTAATGAGTGGTGTTTGAGTGGTGGTCGATGTGGATTGTGTGGTGGACTGATTGTAGACTGGTGGGACTGCAGTGACAACTGGAACTGGTTGTAATGTTGATGATGGTTGGACGTATTTTGTTGTATAGATTGAAGATTCAGTGTTCGTCAATATTCCATTAATGCTATATTCAGCGTCGCTTGATTTGTTGGACGTGACAATTGGAACTGGTTGTAATGTTGATGATGGTTGTAGGTATTGTGTTGTAATGAGTGGTGTTTGAGTGGTGGTCGATGTGGATTGTGTGGTGGACTGATTGTAGACTGGTGGGACTGCAGTGACAACTGGAACTGGTTGTAATGTTGATGATGGTTGTACGTATTTTGTTGTATAGATTGAAGATTCAGTGTTCGTCAATATTCCATTAATGCTATATTCAGCGTCGCTTGATTTGTTGGACGTGACAATTGGAACTGGTTGTAATGTTGATGATGGTTGTAGGTATTGTGTTGTAATGAGTGGTGTTTGAGTGGTGGTCGATGTGGATTGTGTGGTGGACTGATTGTAGACTGGTGGGACTGCAGTGACAACTGGAACTGGTTGTAATGTTGATGATGGTTGGACGTATTTTGTTGTATAGATTGAAGATTCAGTGTTCGTCAATATTCCATTAATGCTATATTCAGCGTCGCTTGATTTGTTGGACGTGACAATTGGAACTGGTTGTAATGTTGATGATGGTTGTAGGTATTGTGTTGTAATGAGTGGTGTTTGAGTGGTGGTCGATGTGGATTGTGTGGTGGACTGATTGTAGACTGGTGGGACTGCAGTGACAACTGGAACTGGTTGTAATGTTGATGATGGTTGGACGTATTTTGTTGTATAGATTGAAGATTCAGTGTTCGTCAATATTCCATTAATGCTATATTCAGCGTCGCTTGATTTGTTGGACGTGACAATTGGAACTGGTTGTAATGTTGATGATGGTTGTAGGTATTGTGTTGTAATGAGTGGTGTTTGAGTGGTGGTCGATGTGGATTGTGTGGTGGACTGATTGTAGACTGGTGGGACTGCTGTGACATCTGAACATTCTTGTAATTTTGTTGTTGGTTCAGCTTGTTCTTTGTTTTCATTTCTTGTTTTATTTTTGTTTTCATTCATGGAGATTTGTTTGTTTTTGTTTTTACTTTTTGTTTTATTTCCTGTTTTCTGTTCATTTTGTTTATTTGGTTTACGTTTTTCTATTTCAGTTCCATTATTTTTGTTTTTTTTCTCGTGTTCGCTTGTTTTTTCTTTTGTTTGCAATAGTTTTTCATAATTTATCATCGTGTTTCCTTCATCGGTTTTACCGTATTCTTCATTTCTCACCTTCCAGTTTAGTTGTTCTATGTCGTATATTTTTCCATTTTCTAGCTGATTACACTGTGTTTGGCTTAATTCCTCAAACTGATTACCATATATTCTATTGGATTTTTCTTTATTCATCATTATCTTATTTTGATTTGATCTGATTTTGTTCCTTCTATTATATGCTTCTTCATTACATTTTACATCCTTTTCATTTTCCTCCTGGTTTTGTTTTAATTCTTGGCATGGATTATTTACATTAGAGTTTTTATTCATCTGATGACATTCATCATTATTGATTACATCTAATGGCCAACTACGTGTTATTGATTTTTGATCATTCCATTCCATTTCTTTTATATTTACAATATCCATTTCTAATGGATTGTTATTATCAATAGGATTAAGTTCATTTGTATCATAATTAATATGTGAAATTGTTCGATCCTCTTGTAAATTATTACATTCATTCAATTGTCCATTAATATAATTTAATTGTAGTAGTGTTATATAGTAATAGAATTTCAATAAAATCATTATCATTAATATTATCATTTGTGTATAATTGAATTACAGCTTTACATTAGATAATCAGTATGATATAAAGTTGGATTTTTCCACACTTCAATATGTTTCTTCTTCTTCTTCTTCCTCTTCCTCTTCTTCTTCTTCTTCTTCTGTTTGTTTGTTTGTTTTTGTGATCAGTAATACTTATATACTAATTTTCTTGTTGCTGATATATTGTATGAACTAAATATGAAAAGGACAAATTAATCTTAAATTTACCTCATTTTATATGGAACTTAGTTGATTTACTAAATCCTTAAAAATGTACACCTTTCTAGTTCTTTTATATAGACTATGGTGAGTTTTCTATGATTAACTAGTTTTAAAGGTGTCAATTATTATTATTATTACCATTATTATCACTATTACTGTTATTATTATTACCGTTACTGTTACCATTACTACTAACATTATTATTATGATTACCACTATTATTACTATTACTGTTACTATTGTTATCACTACTACTACTATTACTACTACTACTACTATTATTATTATTATTATCGCTATTATTGTTATTATTATTACCATTACTCGTTACTATTATTATTATTATTATTATTATTATTATTATTATTATTATTACAGTTCTATATTAATAACTTAATCCATATTAAAGTTATTGATTTAGATTAATTTCCTTTGTTTCAATCAAAATATAACCGTTTTAATCCTACATTCATCATTCGTTGGGTTTGTATTTAAAAATTAAATGAAAAAAAAGTCAACTAATAAGGTAAATCATTTGTCCTTTATTAATCTTTATTTAGTAATTTCCAATGATATAACTTTTATTTAATTCTTTATTTTAATCATTTTGATATAAGTAAAATAACTTTCAATTAAACTTTTACATTATTAGAATTGATTGGTAACATATAAAGTGTACTTTGAATACATTATATATACAATATTGTAGTAACTAGTAGTACTAGTGAGGTGTAAGCTACTTATATCCATAATAAGTAATATATAACGATCGTCAAAAAATAGAATGTAGTTCAGTAGAAGATCCAAAAAGAAACAACGGGAACGGAAAGCAATTGGTATGAAAATGCATGAACAGTGAAATCTGAGACGATTGATATTTTGCAAATTAACAATTTACTGTATGGTTCTCAGATTTTGGTGAAATATTCTGTAATTTTGTGTCCAGATATATTCGATTGCCCCATTCGTGTTCTTGTTCACTACACTAATAGTGACATTATCGACGAGAATAATAATAATAATAATAATAATATGTAAACGTGTACGAGAATAGGAATTGTCAAAAAAGTAAGGAAAGGAATTAAATTAAAGTATAATAGATGGAGAAGATGGATAAAGATTAAAAGCAATGAGATTTGGAAGAGCATTTAAATAAAGATTTTTCTCAGCATCATAGTAAATTGGAGAAGATGAAGTGATGAGACTGTAATTTATGAACGATCTTTGAGCAACGCTAAGATGACCTTGAAAATGTCCACCTACTAACTACGAGTAAATGAGGGTTATAAACTATTGTGAGGATTTGTAATTATGATGTACAGTTGATGATTAAGGTTAGGAAATAGATTTAGGGTTTTCATCACAAACTAATATCAGCTATAATGGCGAAAAAGTATTTAGCCAAATGAGTGTATGGATTTTGCGCTGAAATTCGAGACCTATTTTCTTAAATCTGATTGGCCCGTCCATACATTTTAGTGTCGCCGATGAAGTTACAGAAACAGAATTTTAGTGACAAAGAAGAAATAGAGACGAATAACAAAAAGCAAGAGAAGGAAATGATAGAGTAATTATTTCAGACAATTGTTAATTATTCATTTTTGAAAGTTGAATTTAAGCTAGACCACCATGAAAAACCTGGAAGCACTGGAGGGCCATTCACTCCTAGTAAGGGACTCCTCAACAGTGTTTATCCACAATGCCGCACGTAGGACTCGAGTCCAGGACCATCAGTCTGGAGCGAAAACATTTAACCTCTAGACCACTGAGCCGGCATCCAACGGTATCAATGTTTAATCTCAATCGGTTCATGATCTTGCGCAACCCTTCCAGTGCTTCCAGGTTTTTAATTCTGATTTAGTTTAGATCGACTCATGAATTCGATTATTAAAGTTATTACAATCTCCATAAATCCCCATTCCGATAATTATTCAGTTCACAAATTTATTTTCCAAGTAACAATGTTAAATCACTCTAAATGTAAACAATCAGGAAAAAAAACAAATGTATTATTAACCCGTCCACAAAATGTGATACAAGCGTTTTTTATGACTGCTAAATTCGCTAAAAAATAATATACTACTATCACAACCACATACTTGTAGTTAGTCTATTAAACTTTAATTCCTCAATTCATGGAATGTAGCTAGTATGGAATTGATTACATGGATTTCATTACGTTCGGGACTCGTCAACTGGATGTACCTACATTCTAATTTTTTATGTTTACACTGAGACTCAAACCCAATACAATTCACTCTACACGCTTAACGAATAATCCATTGAGCTACTGAGTCTAGATAGCCATTGACTTGTGTAATGGGTTAGGTTTTGATTAATTTGTAAGTTGTTCGAATCTTATGATTGTCGAAGTGAAGGACTAATTTCGAAATCAAGAGTAAACAAAATACAGGTACTTACAGCTGACAAGTCTCAAATATGTGGTTGTAATTAAACCATGTCAGCTGATTTGAACTATAAATAATCTTTAAAAAATCACTTAAAATCTATATAGTAGTTACTAGTTTGATATTTATTGATTGGGCATTGATATAATATGTAAGGCTGAGAAATAAAAAACCATATATAAACGCCCATGTACACTACATTCAACAATTTGTTTAGTTTTTGGATATAATTTTTGCCACACTCTGGGTCTCATAAAACTTATGTTTTGTTTAACGATGCTACTAACTTTTAGGAAGTAGTATCATAGGGTGATAAAATTATAACCGAGGGAATATAGTTTGTATTTCCCTTACATCTATCTACTGTTAAAGAAGAGAACCTGCATATTTCTAATTCAAAAGTTTGCCGTATAATGAATCAGTTATTATGTACGATTTATAAGTGTCTAATGGCATTTAATACAAGTGTTATAACGGTCGGATTTCTCGTCTATACGAATGGGACTTTAATTTGCCCTAGATAAATATCTACACTAGATTCCCTCCCAGCGTCTATTCTACTGGACCTCAACACAACTCAGATCTAGAACATGTGACAAGCCTGACCAGAATGTAAATACATTTCCACACCAACAAGCGACAACTATCTGACACAATATAACAACGATCAATGATAATAAGGATAGGAGAACATATAACTCATCTAACGCCCATCAGATTATCTACAAGTCTGACTAAGCAAACAACTAATCATTATCAAATTCATCCACACATCGCTTCCCTCGTGAAATTTGTTCCTATGACTTCACCATTGGGTCTATCTGGAAAAAATTTCGTTTGTTTCTGTTCTCATGATGACCTTTAACAAGATTCTAATTTTGACTCATTTCTTCTCATTTCAACTTGTGGTGGTGGTAGTGGTAGTAGTGGGATATTAAATGTATCACATAATATTTCCACTGGCAAAGGTTTGGCTTTAGATGACTCATTAACATTTTTTCTATATCGCAGATGATTTATACGTCTAGTAATTAGTGTACTTTCAACCATCACTCATACAATACCTTCCTACGTCTTTTTTTATACACCCAAATATCCATTTTGGCTTTCCTGCTTTGGATTCTCGAATCTTGGGGCATCCCCTTTTCTTATTTTTTTGTAGTCCATTCGTTTTGTCTTTCGGGTTCATGATATGTCTACTAGATTGAACACTACTTTGTTTTATCTGTTCGTCTCTGATTTTTATGTCGGAATCACTTATCACTTATACTTGCAAAGGAAGAACACCAAGACTAATACAAAAATGATGATTTATTAACCCGAAAACACGACGACGATTCGAGTCCAAAATGCAATCATTTATATATTGATTCGTATAACTATTTTGATCAATAATTAGGATGAAATCACGTATATGAAAAATACTTAGGGTTATGGCCTACCATATGCTGAGTGTCATGCTGAGGCTAATTCATGTTAATTTAATACAAGAATATCGTATTTTATACAGAATAAAATGTCATACGGGAAAACAAAACAAATACTTCACTGAGTAATTATTACATTCCATTTAAACGGATGTTGAACAAAAATCATAATAAGTAAAAGAATGTAATTCTGACTTTTCATCCCGTCATATCACCCCCTTTATTTAAAGACTCGAAGTTTAGATCCTGACTTTAAATTTTCTGACTCTATCCTCCCCATAGAAATAATGTTGGATCCCTATATGCCCAGGTTACAATTAATGCGACTAGATGGTGAGGATGAATAATATTTAATTTGAGGTCATCAGAGTCTGATTCTTCAAATTTATTGAGAATCTCATTAGTAGATAACGGATCACTAGGAAAACCAGTATCTATCAAAATTGAATTGGATTTTTGATCATCATTTGGTTCATCCGACTGTTATAAATTGCGGCCTGTATGCACTGCTAATGTGTAACGTAACGATACTACCAATTAGAAAGCAGTGAATTATAGATCGGACCAATGACGCGTAAAATCTGTACGAGCAGTCTAGGGTTTTCATCAAGAACTGACATCAGCTATAATGCCAAAACTCTATTTAGCCAGATGTATGAATGAATTTCGCACCAAAATTCGTGACTCGTTATCTTATATCTGATTGGTTCGTCCATAAATTATAGTCTCGCCGAAACAACAAGATTTGGCCAAATGTGGCTGTGAATGTGGGAGGTAGTAATTAATAGACAGGGCATAATTCAAGAATGGTGAATAGTAAAATAATAGTTCATAGGTCAAAATAAAACTCATAATAAGAGGGAAATGAATATGAATAATTTAGTTATTTAACAATATACGATAAAAATATAAGCATAGTACTGGTCCATAAATGGATCACAAGAATTACCATTCTTTATACTTATCGGGACATAGTAGCACCATATTTTTCACATTTTTGTATGAAATTTCATCAAAAACATGTGAGTCTTTGGGATAACCCATATCTGGTAAAACAACTCGAGAATCTCGATAAGTAGATTCATCAGAAACTTTTGTCGCAGAATGATGAGTTCCATTATGCTGCTCGATTGATTTTCCGTTTCTCCATGCGCAGCTACTTCAATAATTTCATCAGTACATAACAAGACAACGTCTTTCTGTGAGCTGGGCAAGTCACTGCTTGTACATTATGTTTCAGAGGTAATGGGGTTTGAATGCACTACAGAGTATGTCTCTGAAATGGACATTACTGGACCACTGAGTGGATCATGTATGACTGCCACTGTTTCGTTTAAATTACAACTTATGAGTGTTATCTCGAAAGCTGTGTCTATATTTAGGCGATTTTGGCCGGTCCTTTGCTTTTAAATAATTACATTGAACTCATTTTACCTAAATATCTATGCATAGAAATCCGTTATGTTAAATTATACACTGTATATCAGTTTCGGTATATGTACCATGAAGAATCACAAATATTGTAAACTATTCAATAAAGTGAACTAGTGATATTTATTCATTAATCTCCATCGATCCACAGTGATAAATAACATTTAAAGATTTGATATTCGATAATTCGAACGTGTTGACCTGCTCATGTAATTCATAATAATGTGATAATTGATTACTTAAAGATTATGAAATATTTTCTGTGTTAGGAACATCATGACATAACTCCCCTAAACACCTCTATCTTTGTTTTTATATTCATGTCATTTTATAGAATTGTGACAAATCTTGACGTTTTCTCACCACCTGCCATTTTATAAGTTTAGTTAGATAGTAGATGGTCGGATTGGTCTCAATGGTTAGAATGTGGTCAAACTATGGACATGGAACCCAATCAAGGACTCGGACATGTACTAATCCAGCTCCAAAATATGGAGGTATTTATTGTACGACAGAAAATACTGAAATTCATCCATGTTCGGTAAAATTCTGTCCAACTGATGGTGAATGGGGTGGTTGGACACAGCCTGTTTGTACAGGTATAGACTTATGTCAGAAATGAAGACGTTGTGATAGTCCACTCCCAAACAATGGTGGCAGGTCATGTGTTGGTGAAGCTGTTGAAGATGTGATGTGTGAAGGTATTCCAGTATTTGGTCACCATGGTCTCCTTGGTCTGATTATTCATCAGCATGCGGAACAGGAGGAACTCAAAATCGTAAACGAACATGTGATAATCCAACACCGTCATATGGTGGCACATCATGTCCAGGGCAAGACCTGATGGTGCGTTCTTGTAACCATGGCCCTTGTCCAATAAGTGGAGGATGGGGGACACAGAGCCCTTGGTCTCACTGTTCACATAGATGTGGTAGTGGTCAATGTAGTCGTACTCGTATATGAGACAGTCCGGTTCCAGTATATGGAGGTGAAGATTGTACACCAACAGGAAGTACAGAAACTTCTGAGTGTCAGTCAAAAGCGTGTCCAATTCATGGTGATTGGTGGAACTGGTGATCATGGTCAGCCTATTCGCGTACCTGTTATGTTGGACTACAGACTAGGGAACGTGAATGTACTCAACCTCCACCTCAGTTTGATGGACGTCTATGCCGAGGATCAGCAAAAAAATAAGATCGTGTGAAACTCAAAAATGTGGTAGCTCAGGATTTTGTCCAAACAATGAACTTGGAATAATTTCTGCTTGATCAGAATGGTCTTCTTGGTCGGAATATGAACCTGACTACTCGTTAGTTGGCTAAATAACGGAAGAAAGATGAATAAAACGTCGTGAACGAACATATACACTTTTATCTCCTAAAAATCAGTCAACCCATGGGTGTCTAGGTTCAGCTGAAGAAATTCAAGACTGTACACTTGATAGATAAATGTCAAGATATTCTACGTAGTGTTAACAAAGGACTGTCAACTGGAACTACTTGAGGCCAACTGAATAATCAGAACACTGTAACCATTCATCTTAATGCTAATCTGTCCACTTCTGCTTCAAATCTTTCTACTAATTACGAATTCCATTTAAATGATGTACCAATAGAACGTAGTCAATGTTCACAAGCTTTAACTGAAATTTATCTTCCTGGCACTGGGTATGCAGCAAAAGAGGTATCTGGTGCGTCTAGTTGTCATACAATTATGGATACATTGAACGGAATCACACGGGAATCAGTTGGTCAGTTTGCTGATGGCAGTACAATGCAAATGAACCAAAGTGTATTACGATCAAATGATTCAGTTGTGTCACCTTCAAATAAATCCATTGTTCATCTTACAACGGATATTTATTTATCTGGATCTTGTACATCGTCTTTAATTGATCCTAAGACAACTTCAAGTCCTGAAGTTGAACTACATGATTCTCATGAAAACCTGGTACAATAAAGCCCTCAAAAAGGCATCCTGCATAGTCATTCGTCCAGAGCATTCACGGTTTGTAATTTAGAGAGAGCAAAATCACAAATGGAACCTTATTCATGGATTTCTACGACCCAGATTGTTCTCAAGAGAAAACACACCTAATTACCTCAAGAACTTCATGTCAATGGACTAGAAAATAAAGCAAATTTACAAACTGGACGAGTTGAGTTTCACACTGAAAGTATCATAAAAACAGTCAAGGTTGATAAATGAATAATGAACAAGGTCAAAACGTGACTCAAGAAGAACGGATAAATTGGCCTGTTCAGAAGCTAGAATAAGTTGTATGGCCTTAACATAGTAACTGACACTACAGTCTAAGTGTTAGTGGGTGTTGATTTCAATTGTTAAAACCAACCAGGTTTTTGAAATTTAATACAATGAAATTTTCTAGAAGTATTTTTAATCAAATGAATCCTCATTTTTGGCTGACCAGACTGCTGTGATGAATCTTACTATATCAGTCTGTGACGCTTGTGGCGATTGTTGAAATGTATCAAACATCGAAGAATCAAGGTTCGACTTGGATTATCCTACTGATTTTGATCGATTAGACACCTGTAAATCTAATAGTGGGTGTTTTTGACTCATGAGAATCTATGATCTACCACCCTGGTTTTAGTTGACTAGTAATTTCAAGAGTAGTTGCATATTTGTAGGATGATGGGTTTGTGAGTGTCACGGAATTGATTATTAAATGTGCTGTTGGATGATTTGTAGACTATGTGGTATAACAGGATAATATTTCGTTATTCAGATCAATATTATTGTATCAATTGATTATGAACGACCAGACTGACATGTGAACTTCATTGATTGTGACGTTTTTAGGTCAATATTTGTTGTATTAATCAGGTTTAAACACCATTCAATACGACAAGTGTAAATCTTCGTTCAGAGTGACATTTTTGCTCCTTCTATCAATTTGGATGAACTATGTTCAATGTGTACGTTTTTACTGTAACTACATCCACTTTCCCTTCCATGTTATACTATTATGTGCACGAATCAACATATAAATAATTGTATTTCTACCTAAAGACGATGTGTTTCAGGGATTTTTCTGTGAACATGTTTCGGGAAACCAAAACGTTTTGATTATATCAGTCTTTTGCGTTCTTACTTTGTGTCATTGGGAATTTCAGCGGTTCCCATTTCCAAGTGTGAGCAATAAGACTATGGACGATATGCACATAGTAGCGAGTACTAGTAGATTAGTGAGATTGACTTTATTGTTGAATTAAATGTCTACCACTACAATATCTTTGTTTTTTTTTGACAAAGATTATTTAACGAAGATATACAGTCAGTGTATAACATTGAAGAAATGATAATGATTATTTGTAATGAAATTAGAATGTATCATGTGTACGATTTATAACACTGTAGATAATCCATCAATCAAAAAAGTATTTAATCAGGAATTATTTGTATTGCTGTATCTACATGAGTCAAAGAAAAACATAAGTGTAGATTAGATTTGTTATTCATAAAAAATGAGATACTATTATGTGCCCATTTGAAATGATCTCAGTTTCGACTTTGTTTTTGTATTCCTTAAGAAGATATTAAACCCAACAGCCAAGAAATTGTTACGCTTTTAATGGAGTCTTAAGTGATCAACTAAAATAGAACAATCCAATTTATGTGGTCAAGATCTTTTTGATCTATTTATCACGAATTTCAACTGGATTGTTGATCATTTTTAGGTGTATGTGTTAGTTATTATTGAAATCTAATGGTTTATTGTTATTATATAGGACAAAATTATTTATAAGGTAACGATAGAGATGACAGCTCCCTAGGAAGTTATTTAATTGAACACCATAATTAACGTACTAAAATTGGTAATGTTGTGACTTTAAGCCCGTCTGTATTATCGCGGGATTTATTCGTCAATCGAATACGACTTATTCAAACTTAGTACTGTGCTAAACCAATGACGTTCGAGTGGTATGAGCAGCCTAGCATCCTTATTGGTCCCTTGTTCACCCAGACCGTCCACTTGAATCCATAACGCCAATAACAGCTTACACTATGCGAATTATTTATTTCAAACATACTTGGTTTATGTACCAGCCAAACAGACCGTATCACAACTTAAACTAGGAAATAACATTTATACAAGATCAAGCCAGAAAGTGTCTGTGAACGTGGAAGACTGTAACCAATAAAAAGAATATAAAAACTATGAAGCATGAGATTAGGGTTTCTACAAAAATAGTACATAAATGTTCGGATTTCGTCTTTTCTAACGCATATTCTCAAACTTTCTAACTATCACTGCTACCACATTTATTTCTCGTCCATCTAGTTTGGTATGGTCAGTTCTGCTGAGTTCTAAAATACATTATGCCTCACTAACAGATTATATACTTGAGAAATAACTTGGCAGTACAATAGCATAACGGAAAGACAGCAACATTTTTGCTTCTTTCCTGCTGTTACTCATGCATGTTTAACCACTTTCTAGTACCTAGAACACACCGAGATGAATAGAAAGAGTACTGAAACTTAAATCTCAACGCATCTACACACTTTCTATAGGTTCAACAATTGGTACAGTGTTCATCTATTACTGTTATTCTTATCATCATCGTTAATTAATGTTATCCAAATAATAAGCAGAATATTCACAGTTGAAGTGAAAATAAATCCAGTTCTTCAGATACCAACAGTCCCGATTCTTATTTAACCTACATATTGTCTTCTGAATTTCAGTTATAAGAAGTCAAATATCTTAATTTCGAATTCGTTGATTTAAGTGAAACCAGTGAATTTCAAGATGTTATCAACGTAACGACATTACTACGTTGCTAAAATCATTATTTCTTACATAATTAACTTACATAATTACTCACTATTCACTATAGTTCTTCAGATCAACAATAGAATTAAACTAAGAGATTTGGTGTGAAAGAGTTTGTAGAGGATGGTTTGATTGATAGAAGATTGGTGTCACCGACTAACATCAGTTGAATGTTCGTTAATAGGATAGGACACATTTGTCCCATCGGTTGACACTCTTCACTCCATTCCATAAATGCATACTAAATGTTTGAAATGAATGAGTTTTGAATAACAAATGAAACCTGTAAAATAATCAATGCTGTATTATCAGTTGATCAACTATGTGATGAAAAACATGAAACACTTCAAAACACTTCACAAAACATTTGTCTAAATACATTGTGTAATGTGAAAAATATCAAGTTCATTGTCACGATAATAAGAAAATTTCCAAACATCAATATAATAAACCGAAAGAGAAAGACGAAGAAACACAGGATTCAGCAAAATTCATGGATATAAAGAAAATGAAAACTAACACATTTTCAAAAGCAAATAGCACATTGTCAAACGGACGAAGAGCAAAGAAGGAAAAAAGAATTTCATGCACGAGTTAACGAAGCATTAAAATTAATTTCCAAATGAGAGATATCGAGAAATCTGCCAGATGAAATATAAGTTGTAAATGCTTCAATGGATTGGGCAGTGGTGAGTGTAGTCTCAGTGTTGATGACGGTGGTGATGTTGCGCACGACTTGTGCGTTGTCGAGTAATTGTTCTGTTGTGAGTTGCGCCATATCGGTAACTGGTTGTGATGTTGGAGATGCAGATGTTGGTTGTGTGGATTGTGCAGTGTTGAGTGTAGTCTCAGTGTTGATGATGGTGGTGGTGTTGGGCACGACTTGTGCGTTGTCGAGTAATTGATCTGTTGTGAATTGAGCGATATCGGTAACTGGTTGTGATGTTGGTGATGCAGATGTTGGTTGTGTGGATTGTGCAGTGTTGAGTGTAGTCTCAGTGTTGATGATGGTGGTGATGTTGGGCACGACTTGTGCGTTGTCGAGTAATTGTTCTGTTGTGAGTTGCGCGACATCGGTAACTGGTTGTGATGTTGGAGATGCAGATGTTGGTTGTGTGGATTGTGCAGTGGTGAGTGTAGTCTCAGTGTTGATGATGGTGGTGATGTTGGGCACGACTTGTGCGTTGTCGAGTAATTGTTCTGTTGTGAGTTGCGCGACATCGGTAACTGGTTGTGATGTTGGTGATGCAGATGTTGGTTGTGTGGATTGTGCAGTGGTGAGTGTAGTCTCAGTGTTGATGATGGTGGTGATGTTGGGCACGACTTGTGCGTTGTCGAGTAATTGTTCTGTTGTGAGTTGCGCCACATCGGTAACTGGTTGTGATGTTGGAGATGCAGATGTTGGTTGTGTGGATTGTGCAGTGTTGAGTGTAGTCTCAGTGTTGATGATGGTGGTGATGTTGGGCACGACTTGTGCGTTGTCGAGTAATTGTTCTGTTGTGAGTTGCGCGACATCGGTAACTGGTTGTGATGTTGGTGATGCAGATGTTGGTTGTGTGGATTGTGCAGTGGTGAGTGTAGTCTCAGTGTTGATGATGGAGGTGATGTTGGGCATGACTTGTGCGTTGTCGAGTAATTGTTCTGTTGTGAGTTGCGCGACATCGGTAACTGGTTGTGATGTTGGAGATGCAGATGTTGGTTGTGTGGATTGTGCAGTGGTGAGTGTAGTCTCAGTGTTGATGATGGTGGTGGTGTTGGGCATGACTTGTGCGTTGTCGAGTAATTGTTCTGTTGTGAGTTGCGCGACATCGGTAACTGGTTGTGATGTTGGTGATGCAGATGTTGGTTGTGTGGATTGTGCAGTGGTGAGTGTAGTCTCAGTGTTGATGATGGTGGTGATGTTGGGCACGACTTGTGCGTTGTCGAGTAATTGTTCTGTTGTGAGTTGCGCCACATCGGTAACTGGTTGTGATGTTGGTGATGCAGATGTTGGTTGTGTGGATTGTGCAGTGTTGAGTGTAGTCTCAGTGTTGATGATGGTGGTGATGTTGGGCACGACTTGTGCGTTGTCGAGTAATTGTTCTGTTGTGAGTTGCGCCACATCGGTAACTGGTTGTGATGTTGGAGGTGCAGATGTTGGTTGTGTGGATTGTGCAGTGTTGAGTGTAGTCTCAGTGTTGATGATGGTGGTGATGTTGGGCACGACTTGTGCGTTGTCGAGTAATTGTTCTGTTGTGAGTTGCGCCACATCGGTAACTGGTTGTGATGTTGGTGATGCAGATGTTGGTTGTGTGGATTGTGCAGTGTTGAGTGTAGTCTCAGTGTTGATGATGGTGGTGATGTTGGGCACGACTTGTGCGTTGTCGAGTAATTGTTCTGTTGTGAGTTGCGCGACATCGGTAACTGGTTGTGATGTTGGAGATGCAGATGTTGGTTGTGTGGATTGTGCAGTGGTGAGTGTAGTCTCAGTGTTGATGATGGTGGTGATGTTGGGCACGACTTGTGCGTTGTCGAGTAATTGTTCTGTTGTGAGTTGCGCCACATCGGTAACTGGTTGTGATGTTGGAGATGCAGATGTTGGTTGTGTGGATTGTGCAGTGTTGAGTGTAGTCTCAGTGTTGATGATGGATGTGATGTTGGGCATGACTTGTGCGTTGTCGAGTAATTGTTCTGTTGTGAGTTGCGCCACATCGGTAACTGGTTGTGATGTTGGAGATGCAGATGTTGGTTGTGTGGATTGTGCAGTGTTGAGTGTAGTCTCAGTGTTGATGATGGTGGTGATGTTGGGCACGACTTGTGCGTTGTCGAGTAATTGTTCTGTTGTGAGTTGCGCCACATCGGTAACTGGTTGTGATGTTGGAGATGCAGATGTTGGTTGTGTGGATTGTGCAGTGTTGAGTGTAGTCTCAGTGTTGATGATGGATGTGATGTTGGGCATGACTTGTGCGTTGTCGAGTAATTGTTCTGTTGTGAGTTGCGCCACATCGGTAACTGGTTGTGATGTTGGAGATGCAGATGTTGGTTGTGTGGATTGTGCAGTGTTGAGTGTAGTCTCAGTGTTGATGATGGTGGTGATGTTGGGCACGACTTGTGCGTTGTCGAGTAATTGTTCTGTTGTGAGTTGCGCGACATCGGTAACTGGTTGTGATGTTGGTGATGCAGATGTTGGTTGTGTGGATTGTGCAGTGGTGAGTGTAGTCTCAGTGTTGATGATGGATGTGATGTTGGGCATGACTTGTGCGTTGTCGAGTAATTGTTCTGTTGTGAGTTGCGCCACATCGGTAACTGGTTGTGATGTTGGTGATGCAGATGTTGGTTGTGTGGATTGTGCAGTGGTGAGTGTAGTCTCAGTGTTGATGATGGTGGTGATGTTGGGCACGACTTGTGCGTTGTCGAGTAATTGTTCTGTTGTGAGTTGCGCCACATCGGTAACTGGTTGTGATGTTGGTGATGCAGATGTTGGTTGTGTGGATTGTGCAGTGTTGAGTGTAGTCTCAGTGTTGATGATGGATGTGATGTTGGGCATGACTTGTGCGTTGTCGAGTAATTGTTCTGTTGTGAGTTGCGCCACATCGGTAACTGGTTGTGATGTTGGAGATGCAGATGTTGGTTGTGTGGATTGTGCAGTGTTGAGTGTAGTCTCAGTGTTGATGATGGTGGTGATGTTGGGCACGACTTGTGCGTTGTCGAGTAATTGTTCTGTTGTGAGTTGCGCCACATCGGTAACTGGTTGTGATGTTGGTGATGCAGATGTTGGTTGTGTGGATTGTGCAGTGTTGAGTGTAGTCTCAGTGTTGATGATGGTGGTGATGTTGGGCACGACTTGTGCGTTGTCGAGTAATTGTTCTGTTGTGAGTTGCGCCACATCGGTAACTGGTTGTGATGTTGGAGATGCAGATGTTGGTTGTGTGGATTGTGCAGTGTTGAGTGTAGTCTCAGTGTTGATGATGGATGTGATGTTGGGCATGACTTGTGCGTTGTCGAGTAATTGTTCTGTTGTGAGTTGCGCCACATCGGTAACTGGTTGTGATGTTGGAGATGCAGATGTTGGTTGTGTGGATTGTGCAGTGTTGAGTGTAGTCTCAGTGTTGATGATAGTGGTGATGTTGGGCACGACTTGTGCGTTGTCGAGTAATTGTTCTGTTGTGAGTTGCGCGACATCGGTAACTGGTTGTGATGTTGGAGATGCAGATGTTGGTTGTGTGGATTGTGCAGTGTTGAGTGTAGTCTCAGTGTTGATGATGGATGTGATGTTGGGCATGACTTGTGCGTTGTCGAGTAATTGTTCTGTTGTGAGTTGCGCGACATCGGTAACTGGTTGTGATGTTGGTGATGCAGATGTTGGTTGTGTGGATTGTGCAGTGTTGAGTGTAGTCTCAGTGTTGATGATGGTGGTGATGTTGGGCACGACTTGTGCGTTGTCGAGTAATTGTTCTGTTGTGAGTTGCGCCACATCGGTAACTGGTTGTGATGTTGGTGATGCAGATGTTGGTTGTGTGGATTGTGCAGTGGTGAGTGTAGTCTCAGTGTTGATGATGGAGGTGATGTTGGGCATGACTTGTGCGTTGTCGAGTAATTGTTCTGTTGTGAGTTGCGCCACATCGGTAACTGGTTGTGATGTTGGAGATGCAGATGTTGGTTGTGTGGATTGTGCAGTGGTGAGTGTAGTCTCAGTGTTGATGATGGATGTGATGTTGGGCATGACTTGTGCGTTGTCGAGTAATTGTTCTGTTGTGAGTTGCGCGACATCGGTAACTGGTTGTGATGTTGGTGATGCAGATGTTGGTTGTGTGGATTGTGCAGTGGTGAGTGTAGTCTCAGTGTTGATGATGGTGGTGATGTTGGGCACGACTTGTGCGTTGTCGAGTAATTGTTCTGTTGTGAGTTGCGCCACATCGGTACCTGGTTGTGATGTTGGAGATGCAGATGTTGGTTGTGTGGATTGTGCAGTGTTGAGTGTAGTCTCAGTGTTGATGATGGTGGTGATGTTGGGCACGACTTGTGCGTTGTCGAGTAATTGTTCTGTTGTGAGTTGCGCCACATCGGTAACTGGTTGTGATGTTGGAGGTGCAGATGTTGGTTGTGTGGATTGTGCAGTGGTGAGTGTAGTCTCAGTGTTGATGATGGTGGTGATGTTGGGCATGACTTGTGCGTTGTCGAGTAATTGTTCTGTTGTGAGTTGCGCCACATCGGTAACTGGTTGTGATGTTGGTGATGCAGATGTTGGTTGTGTGGATTGTGCAGTGGTGAGTGTAGTCTCAGTGTTGATGATGGTGGTGATGTTGGGCACGACTTGTGCGTTGTCGAGTAATTGTTCTGTTGTGAGTTGCGCCACATCGGTAACTGGTTGTGATGTTGGAGATGCAGATGTTGGTTGTGTGGATTGTGCAGTGTTGAGTGTAGTCTCAGTGTTGATGATGGTGGTGATGTTGGGCACGACTTGTGCGTTGTCGAGTAATTGTTCTGTTGTGAGTTGCGCCACATCGGTAACTGGTTGTGATGTTGGAGATGCAGATGTTGGTTGTGTGGATTGTGCAGTGTTGAGTGTAGTCTCAGTGTTGATGATGGATGTGATGTTGGGCATGACTTGTGCGTTGTCGAGTAATTGTTCTGTTGTGAGTTGCGCCACATCGGTAACTGGTTGTGATGTTGGAGATGCAGATGTTGGTTGTGTGGATTGTGCAGTGTTGAGTGTAGTCTCAGTGTTGATGATGGTGGTGGTGTTGGGCACGACTTGTGCGTTGTCGAGTAATTGTTCTGTTGTGAGTTGCGCCACATCGGTAACTGGTTGTGATGTTGGTGATGCAGATGTTGGTTGTGTGGATTGTGCAGTGGTGAGTGTAGTCTCAGTGTTGATGATGGAGGTGATGTTGGGCATGACTTGTGCGTTGTCGAGTAATTGTTCTGTTGTGAGTTGCGCGACATCGGTAACTGGTTGTGATGTTGGAGATGCAGATGTTGGTTGTGTGGATTGTGCAGTGGTGAGTGTAGTCTCAGTGTTGATGATGGTGGAGATGTTGGGCATGACTTGTGCGTTGTCGAGTAATTGTTCTGTTGTGAGTTGCGCGACATCGGTAACTGGTTGTGATGTTGGAGATGCAGATGTTGGTTGTGTGGATTGTGCAGTGGTGAGTGTAGTCTCAGTGTTGATGATGGTGGTGATGTTGGGCACGACTTGTGCGTTGTCGAGTAATTGTTCTGTTGTGAGTTGCGCCACATCGGTAACTGGTTGTGATGTTGGTGATGCAGATGTTGGTTGTGTGGATTGTGCAGTGTTGAGTGTAGTCTCAGTGTTGATGATGGTGGTGATGTTGGGCACGACTTGTGCGTTGTCGAGTAATTGTTCTGTTGTGAGTTGCGCCACATCGGTAACTGGTTGTGATGTTGGAGGTGCAGATGTTGGTTGTGTGGATTGTGCAGTGTTGAGTGTAGTCTCAGTGTTCATGATGGTGGTGATGTTGGGCACGACTTGTGCGTTGTCGAGTAATTGTTCTGTTGTGAGTTGCGCCACATCGGTAACTGGTTGTGATGTTGGAGATGCAGATGTTGGTTGTGTGGATTGTGCAGTGGTGAGTGTAGTCTCAGTGTTGATGATGGTGGTGATGTTGGGCACGACTTGTGCGTTGTCGAGTAATTGTTCTGTTGTGAGTTGCGCCACATCGGTAACTGGTTGTGATGTTGGAGATGCAGATGTTGGTTGTGTGGATTGTGCAGTGTTGAGTGTAGTCTCAGTGTTGATGATGGTGGTGATGTTGGGCACGACTTGTGCGTTGTCGAGTAATTGTTCTGTTGTGAGTTGCGCCACATCGGTAACTGGTTGTGATGTTGGTGATGCAGATGTTGGTTGTGTGGATTGTGCAGTGTTGAGTGTAGTCTCAGTGTTGATGATGGTGGTGATGTTGGGCACGACTTGTGCGTTGTCGAGTAATTGTTCTGTTGTGAGTTGCGCGACATCGGTAACTGGTTGTGATGTTGGAGATGCAGATGTTGGTTGTGTGGATTGTGCAGTGTTGAGTGTAGTCTCAGTGTTGATGATGGAGGTGATGTTGGGCACGACTTGTGCGTTGTCGAGTAACTGTTCTGTTGTGAGTTGCGCCACATCGGTAACTGGTTGTGATGTTGGTGATGCAGATGTTGGTTGTGTGGATTGTGCAGTGTTGAGTGTAGTCTCAGTGTTGATGATGGTGGTGGTGTTGGGCACGACTTGTGCGTTGTCGAGTAATTGATCTGTTGTGAATTGAGCGACATCGGTAACTGGTTGTGATGTTGGTGATGCAGATGTTGGTTGTGTGGATTGTGCAGTGGTGAGTGTAGTCTCAGTGTTGATGATGGTGGTGATGTTGGGCACGACTTGTGCGTTGTCGAGTAATTGTTCTGTTGTGAGTTGCGCCACATCGGTAACTGGTTGTGATGTTGGAGATGCAGATGTTGGTTGTGTGGATTGTGCAGTGGTGAGTGTAGTCTCAGTGTTGATGATGGTGGTGGTGTTGGGCACGACTTGTGCGTTGTCGAGTAATTGTTCTGTTGTGAGTTGCGCGACATCGGTAACTGGTTGTGATGTTGGAGATGCAGATGTTGGTTGTGTGGATTGTGCAGTGGTGAGTGTAGTCTCAGTGTTGATGATGGTGGTGATGTTGGGCACGACTTGTGCGTTGTCGAGTAATTGTTCTGTTGTGAGTTGCGCCACATCGGTAACTGGTTGTGATGTTGGAGATGCAGATGTTGGTTGTGTGGATTGTGCAGTGGTGAGTGTAGTCTCAGTGTTGATGATGGTGGTGATGTTGGGCACGACTTGTGCGTTGTCGAGTAATTGTTCTGTTGTGAGTTGCGCCACATCGGTAACTGGTTGTGATGTTGGAGATGCAGATGTTGGTTGTGTGGATTGTGCAGTGTTGAGTGTAGTCTCAGTGTTGATGATGGAGGTGATGTTGGGCACGACTTGTGCGTTGTCGAGTAATTGTTCTGTTGTGAGTTGCGCCACATCGGTAACTGGTTGTGATGTTGGAGATGCGGATGTTGGTTGTGTGGATTGTGCAGTGTTGAGTGTAGTCTCAGTGTTGATGATGGTGTTGGTGTTGGGCACGACTTGTGCGTTGTCGAGTAATTGTTCTGTTGTGAGTTGCGCCACATCGGTAACTGGTTGTGATGTTGGAGATGCAGATGTTGGTTGTGTGGATTGTGCAGTGTTGAGTGTAGTCTCAGTGTTGATGATGGTGTTGATGTTGGGCACGACTTGTGCGTTGTCGAGTAATTGTTCTGTTGTGAGTTGCGCCACATCGATAACTGGTTGTGATGTTGGAGATGCAGATGTTGGTTGTGTGGATTGTGCAGTGGTGAGTGTAGTCTCAGTGTTGATGATGGTGGTGATGTTGGGCACGACTTGTGCGTTGTCGAGTAATTGTTCTGTTGTGAGTTGCGCGACATCGGTAACTGGTTGTGATGTTGGAGATGCAGATGTTGGTTGTGTGGATTGTGCAGTGGTGAGTGTAGTCTCAGTGTTGATGATGGTGGAGATGTTGGGCATGACTTGTGCGTTGTCGAGTAATTGTTCTGTTGTGAGTTGCGCCACATCGGTAACTGGTTGTGATGTTGGTGATGCAGATGTTGGTTGTGTGGATTGTGCAGTGTTGAGTGTAGTCTCAGTGTTGATGATGGTGGTGGTGTTGGGCACGACTTGTGCGTTGTCGAGTAATTGTTCTGTTGTGAGTTGCGCGACATCGGTAACTGGTTGTGATGTTGGAGATGCAGATGTTGGTTGTGTGGATTGTGCAGTGGTGAGTGTAGTCTCAGTGTTGATGATGGATGTGATGTTGGGCATGACTTGTGCGTTGTCGAGTAATTGTTCTGTTGTGAGTTGCGCGACATCGGTAACTGGTTGTGATGTTGGTGATGCAGTATTTATTTTTGAGTATAATATATTTTTTAGTGTTGTTTTAATATTGTTTCGCTTTGTGAATCTATGCTCCGTAACTTCGTCGTCTAGATTTTCCGTTGTACTTTTTAGTTGTTTTTCTTTGAACAATTTTTCTTCTATATCTTGTCCTTGCTCTACTTGAAATTCACTGATATTTCTTTCTGTTTTCGATATTGCACGCTGCTCTTGATTTTGTACTATCGATGATTTTCTGTCATCTCCTTCCGATATTTGTCTTTGTAACGCTAATCGTTTCTCATTTGTTCCACTGAAATCTATGATAAGTTGTGTTTGTTGTGACTTCCTTTTCTTTTCATTGTCAGTATCTGATTTCGTTTCTTGTTCTTCGCCTCCATATTTCACATTTGATTCGTTTACATTTTGATCGTACATGTGATCATTCGATGTGGTCACTGATAAATTGGGCATCGGAATTTCGTTTGTTAATGATGAATTCAATTGATTTTGCACTAGATTCATAACATCCATTTCCGATTGATTGTTCTTGGCAATCGGATTAGTTTCATTTGCATCAAAAACAATATGTGAGATAGTTTGATTCTGTTGTACATTGGTGTGTTCATTTAGTTGTCCACTAATGTGATTCAATTTTAGTGTCAAATAGAAACAGAATGTCAATAAAATCATCTTCATCAATATCATGATTTGTGTGTGATTGAATCAGAGTTATTCATAAGATAATCAGTGTGATATGAAGTTGAATTTGCAACTTCAATACGCTGTACTTGTAAATCAGTTTCACTTATATACTAATTTTCTTGTTGCTAATATGTTGTATGAATAAAATGACAAGAGTTCACGTAGACAATACAGATCACCTCTCATAAGTGTGATCGTTTAATAATCCTTTTCATATACAATTTCTCACTTTATACTTTAATTGAATGAAAACCTGTAAAGGGCATTGTCTATCATTTGATTAACTAATGTATTTGAATGGTAGTCTTTAATAACATAACCCATATTAACACTAATATTTGTCATTGTAATCAAACCACAATCGTTTTAATCTTAGTTCTTAAAAGATCAGTGTTTGTGAAAAGAGATTAATTTATTTAGTTGTTATCCTTCTCAACTTTAAATTCAATCCACTTACATAATCTTTATCAGTGTTTTTATCTGCTGATAATTTTTGACTTCATGTTTCATTCAATGTGACCTAATGCAATATTATTCTATTATTATTGAACATTCTCAAACCAGCACTTAGATCAGCACACTGGATATCTATTCACACATCATCAAGGCCAACGATTCTAGTGTGCGGAACACTGTCCCAGGTCTACTGAAACCTCGCTCCAAACTGCAAATTAGAGCGTTCAACGTACGCACCCTATTTCCAATCGGCTAACAGGTATGCTTGGCTAAAACACTAGAATCTCGTACCACTGATGTGTGCTGTGTTTCTGAAACACTCATTCACTAGTCCTCACCTCGCCAATACGGAGAACCGACGAGATACACCCTCCATGCATCTGTCTATTTCTTGTGAACCGGCAGGTGTGAGCATAGTACTAAGTACGAGGGCGGAACAAGCACCATTAGAGTGGATCCCTGTTAACAGTCGTCTATGTGCTGTTCGGTTAAACGGGTCCGTAAGAACTCGGAAGGATAGGGACACACGTCGTTGCCTTTTCGTCGTTTGTGCCTACGCTTCCACTGACTGCAACACGGATTATTATTATTATTATTATTAATGGCTTTATTCAATATTATATTTCGGTACAATATAGAATTCTCAGCACAATGAAGTGAAAGATGACTCTTACAGAAAGCTTTCTGAACTTCTTCATAAAGCTAAACACTCAGACATAGTACTCTTAGCAGATGACTCTAATGTCCAAGTAGGTAGCTTAAACCAAACAGAAAGACATTTAAGTGGGTATTTTGGTATTCCGGCTCAGCCAACAGATAATGGTGATCGTCTGTTGCAAATATACTCAGACAATCGTTTATTTGTAGCAAGCACTAATTTTAAGCATAAGGAGAGAAATTTCATACACATAGTTCCCTTTATCATTTTGAAAAGAGCAAGAACAAAGTTCAAATATCGACAAGCAACCCTTTCATGTTACCGCCAACTGTATTTATAAATTTACGTGTACCTGCCAAAGCAGCTACATCGGCCGAACTGAAAGGAGAGCATATCTTAGGTTCTTTGAACATGTTCCAAAAAGTCTTAGAACAAGGGAAAGAAAGACTCTGAACAGTGCGATCACCAAACATCTCCTTGATACAGGACATCAGGTAGATACCTTACAATCCTTTAGGGTGATTAGTAAGCAGCCAAACTCCAGTCTTCTGAAGTTTGCTGAAGCCATTGCCATCAGGCGACAAAAACCTGACCTATGTATTCAAAAGGAGACGGTGGTTAATCTTTCCTTACCCTGGTGACAAATATTCCTTCACTGAACCTTAAAATTTTTTTTTCTTTTTTTTTCCTCTTTTTTCTGTTGCATTTATTACATCATTGGTTCTAATTTATTTTTTCAACTATCTTTCAAATTAATAATCTTTCAACTGAACTCTAATCACTATATTCCTATCAATGTTTATTCATTATGTAATCAATTGTTTCTAACCCATTTTTGAACTGTTGTCACAATTAATGTTGTAGAATATTCTTTCACATTAGGTATATATTTACAATATTCTGTAAGCAATTTAAATCCATTATGCAATTATGATTTTCAAATATCACAGGTTGTAAGCAGCTGACGAGAACCTACGAAATAAAATGAATTCATGCTATTCTGCTAGAATCTTTGTTCTTGCTCTTTTCATAAGGAGAGACATTGTCTAACATGGTGACCACATGAACTAAACAAACTATGGACTCAAATAGACCATTTTGCCATCAGTGATCGTTGGAGAGGCTCGATAGAAGACTGCGGCTCTTTCTGGAGTACATGTTTAGACTTCAATCATGCTCTAATACGAGCACGCATTTGCTTGCGCCTCACTGGACGCAGAGAAACCACATTGAGAAGACCCATTAGAGTTGAACTCGGTGAGGAGATAGCCAAAAGTAGATTCCAGAAACAACTGAAGTCACACTCAGGTAGTTCCGAAAACGAGGCTGACCCAATGTTGCTTGGAAAAATACACAAATAGCTGTGGAAACAACAGCGACATCTATCAGTGATTTAAACCAAAGGGTTACGAAAAACCAGTGGTTTCCTACTAAGTCCATCGCACTGATAGATTCTCTTAAGCACATCCTAACAGGCCCCGAACACGATGATGAGCGAAAACAAGTCAGACCTAGGTTAACCAGAAGTCTAAGGAACGACCGTGAGCAGTGGTGTCGAAACCATCCTGTGATAACCATACAAGATTAGTTTGACTAACCTAGCATCTAAAACACCAGCCTCAATAATTATCGGGCACCTAGTCAAGACTCGTGAACTGAAAACACGAGAAAATCAGGCTGGATTCAGATCTGGTTGCGGCTGCATCCAACACATATTCACCATTCGTCAGGTCCTAGAACACAGACATGTTTATTGGCGTCCAACAAGCGTATTCTTTATCGACTTAAAAGCAGCATTTGACTCTGTAAACAATGAGGTTCTGTGGCAGTGTCTGTCATTGACGTATACAAACATTGTGAAGGCTCTTTACTCAAACATTACTAGTCGAGTCACAGCTTATAGCAAACTGTCATCTGATTTCGCAACCTCAAGTGGTGTCCGACAAGGCTGTCCACTATCTCCATTTTCGTTCAACTTCATCATAGATATACTGATGGAAATAACGTTCTCGTCGACTGGATTCTCGGGAATTAGTCTCCTTTTAAGAGGTCCACTTGTTGCATTAGAATGTGCAGGTGACATAGTCGTGTTTGGTGAAGACGCTGATAAAATACAGTCTTCTGGTAGAACTGAGCAACAATGCCAGAATATTTTAGATGCGCTTCTTCTCCTCTAAATGCATGTTGTTAATTCGGGACTGGCCTGCGTCAACACCTGAACTCAGGATAGTGAGTGAAGTAGTCGAACGCGTTGACAACTTCACTAGCTTCTAACTTGAGACATGTTGGCAGATGCAGACTACTTGGTTGGTGTCCGCGTGACTATCGTAACCAATGGCTGGAGACTCTGTGTGACATGGCTCAGAATCGATCACAATGGCATCGGTGTATACACTCTTTGTCTTCCCTTAAGCCGTGAGATTAAAATTACTTTATACCTTTCTTTCTAATTCTTTCTTTCTCTACTATATCCTTTTATATATTACTACCATTGAAGTGACCACTTCTATTAATTTGGTGTTCATCTTGTTGTGCTAATGCGGTATGGCAACTTTGACTAGTGCATATATATGCCTTTTCCTACGATGTCGCTGACTGATGGACTGGTTCACACGTTGGATGTATTCGCAGTAATTGGTATATGCAATATTATGAATATCAGTAGCTACAGTATTGTAGTTGTTGAAGTATGTGCGGTAATAACAGTAGTTCTAGTAAGAGTAGAATTAGGAATGTTAGTAGAATAGTAGACGCGAAGAAAAATAAATCAATTTGTGGTTGATGCAGAAGACGGATGTGGTGTAAGAGATACGAGATTAAGAATAGTGTTAAAAGAATGAGAAGTCACGGTGCCAGTGTGAAGAGCAGAAGATGGATTGTCTGTGAAATGAAATAAATTCCTGAATTTTGAAATAACTCATGTCAATACAGTATGTAGTTCAATATTACTACTAGCTTAATACAAACCACCATCGAAGCCTGGAAACATTGGAATACCGTTTCATCCTAGCATGGAACTCCTCAGAAGTGCCCATCAACAATCTAACAAACTGAAATCAAACCTAGCACCTTGAGCATTGCGAGCGAACGCCAAACCTCTAGACCATTAGCCAGCATTCAATCGATCTATGAGCGTGTGCAACTATTCAGTGATTGTCTACGATGGATAACTAAATCATACCTGACACGGATTTAATCCCACTGGTCACGACCTCTTTCTATAACTCTATGAGTTACATATTGAAGACGGTCACTAATTAGCATATGATTGTTACCTGTATTGGTGATTTACGTATATATTTAAACAATTTTCTACGTAAAATACTGAATGTCCGTTGACCGGATACCATCAGCAACAGCCTACTATAGCAGATAACAAACAAGCTTCTAACTGAAGAGGAAATTACGAAAAGATGATGAAAGTGGATAGGACATAGATTATGGAAATCACCAAACTGCATCATGAAGCAAGCGCTCACTTGGAATCGTGAAGGGAAACGGAAAAGAAGTAGATCAAAGAACACAATGCGTTGAGAGTTGGAAGCAGATATGAAAAGGATGAGTAGCAACTGGAAAGAACTGGAAAGAATTGTCCAGAACAGAGTTGGATGGAGAGTGCTGGTGGTCGACCTATGCTCCCCCACGACGGGTAACAGGCATAAGTATGATGAATTATTAGACATGTTCACTAAATCACCTACAATCTGGTTTATTTCTAACTATTGATAACTTTACACAAACTCCACTGTGTTTGCGGACAGAACATAATAAATTAAATACGAAAGATGAATAACATATTTTTCCAGCTTTAAATATTACAATAGGAAATATTTACTCTAATGAGACTAAGAAAAAAGTCTGAAAATCAAGTTTGAATGACCTCGATGAGTTTCTGGCAAATATTCAGTATACTAAATGCACAAAAACTACACAGAAAACTATTAGTTAACAGTGACATGAAACTTCACCATTTGGGATTCATTGCATGTTCCGTTACTGTTCTGATGACACACGTTGCATAATCCATAGGTGTGAACATCTTCATCTAAGTTTTTGTCCATGTTATGTAGTTCTTCCGAATTTACTCAAATAACATCCTCCTAACAAATCTCTACAAGGCTTATGTTACCTGGTTCTAGTTTGAACAACTGACTAATCGTTGGAGAAATTTCTCGACGATAAACGTAAAATAAATTGATATGGCCATGAAATCCAGGTCAAGTGTAAAAATTTGGTAGAGAAAAAGTATTCGTTGCTTGTTTTATAGGTTCCATCTAAACCGAAAACATCAAGATAACGATTCATCGAGTTCTTTTAATCCACCATTTCAAATAAATAATATTCTAACTCATCACGTTTATTCGATCTATACTCACGACATCTCCTGAGTGATATTATTTTGTCCGTTTACATATAGACACTTTATGACTCGTACTGAACACATCCCGTGAATACAGACGCTTCCAAAATGAGAGGTATGAATGATAGACCCGGTTAAATGCAGCAGTGGCTGGAAATACAAGAGGCCTGATGGATTCGAACTCTGATTCCGTTGGCTTCCGCATCGATGAAATACTGTGATAAGCCAGTGGATTGCATTCATAGTCGTGGTGCACATTTTTACAAACTACACTCCACCATCTTCCTGTCTGCTTAGAAATTATAAACACTGGAGAAATATATCTTGATGAAGCACTGGACAAAACACACTTACTCCCTTCTTTTGAGGGTGATTAAGATTTCTTCCATCAGTTTCATAGCCATTTCTACAGCATACACGAGCTATTTCTGATTCCGATGGAACTGGAAATCACGAGTCAGAATATGTTGTCTATTGGTGGAAATGTTACTAGAAACAAATTACTCACAAATAAATCCTCTGTGACTTTAACCACATTCGAACTTGAGTCTGAAAAAAAAGTAATTGCGTGGTTACTTCAGTTCATTGTTATCAAAATGTTCGTCATCAAACAACGTCATTGGTTTGGCACAGTGCTAAGATTGTATAAGTCGTATTTTGATTGGTGGATAAATCACGTGATAAAATGCCGGACATAAAGTCACAACACTTCCTAAAATAATATTAATAATAATAATAATGATAAAATTTATCCATTTAGACCTTAGAATGAAATCCACTTTGTTTTGTTTTTCTTTTTTAATGAAGCTATTCTTCTCAACAACACTCATTTAAACATTTCGTTGACCTCATTTGAAACATCCCGTAACTTCTTCAAATAACTCGGTATTCTAATTAAAAGCAATGAATGCCTAATGTACTGAATGCATTTCACTATCATTTATTAAGTTCAAACAACTCCCTTTATACTTCCGTCATATCATCACATGGTTTCATATACCTCTTATTTACAAATTCACTTCGTGTTGTTTGCTTGTATCTTCCCATTGTTGTTTAGGACTGCAATTGATCAGTCTCTTGTTCGCGTATGTGCATCCTGTGTGGATTACCTCGATATTGCCTCAAATCACAAGCTTTATAAGCAAAGATGAATGATGGCTAGCCGTGGAATCCAGGACATGCGTTTCGTTATATTTTGAACTTGCCAGTTGGATTTACCTGAATGTCAGAGTTGATGTTCACTCCAGTACTCAGTAGCTAAGTGGATAACCCGACAGCGTTTGAAACGAAATTTACTAGGTTCAAGTTCAATTGACGGGTCCCAAACAGGATGAAACGCGCATCCTGGATTCCATTCCTAGCCATTATCCATCTTTACTTATAGAACATATTTGTATTTTAAGTCATTTTTGTTTTTGTTTTTGTTGGTTTTTAAAGAACACCTAGTAACAAAACGATCACAGTTGTTTTATTAAACCATTAGATTTTTAGACAAATATTATACCCGATAAATTTTAAGTACTTAATCTGTTTACAAGTAAAAATCATACAACGATAATATACAATTACTCACAAAAGTACATTTAGTAATTCTGCATTATTGGAGATAAAGTTTTCATTAAATTTCCATAAAACAACTTTCAAATTTGATTCGTCAATAATAAAGAACTACTTAAATAAGGAAACAAGTAGATGAATAAAATTTAGAAGAAAAATTAGAGAGGTAGGGTTTTTAAAGAAATTTAAAAATCTCCAAATAATATTTAAAAACAAAGAATATTCGCATGAATAATTGTTTTCATTAATTTCTTCATCAGGCTCTATGACTCTGTCCCGTGAGATTCGAACCCAGATCCTATCAGTCTCGTACACGAGCGCTTAACCTCTAGAACACTGAATCGGCATTCAACGGTTGTTAATGTGTAACTCCAGCCGATCCACGAAGTTCCGCCACCGTCCACTACTGACTTATGAATTCATCTGTTAAAATATATTAATGAATTATGTAATGTTTTATGTTGGAAATGAATAACATTTACATTTGTTAAAGAATGATTACTAGAAAATTGCCATTATTAAATTAAAACTGTTATTTACTAAACGTTTGAATGATTCGTTATATTCAATATAATAATAATCAAATATCAGTTTAGGGGTTATGGAGATTACGTTTTTGATTGAGATCATAAACCTATTGATGGTGGTCAATCGGTTCATGATCTCAATCCAAAAAATTATCATAGAAATTATTTTAGGAGAATTTCTTTTGATTAATGAAGATAATAATAGTAATATGATCGTTTGAATAAGAGAAGTACTTTCAAGGAAGTTATGATAAGAAATTCACATAAATTGATAAAGATAAATCTGCAGATTAAGAAAGAGTCATAGAAACAATCAATCTAAGAGAGAGTTAGATAACATCTTCTTCATATAGTTGACATGACATAACTTATTAATACTAACATCAACTTCATCTAAAAATTTGTACTCAATTAGCATACATTAACTCAAAAGAAGATTGATAGTTAAACATAGATAATATTAATCAGGAAGAATATTTTCTGTGATTCTGTGTAAAATCTCACGAATGTAAGAGTGAAAGACTGGATTTTGACAGTATGATTAAAGCGCGTTACATGAGAGAATTAGTATCAAGAAATGATCTGAGTGTATGATTGAGTGTCCACAAGTCTTTAAATCCTTTAGAACAAAAGTGATGAGTTTTAAAATTCAGCAATGATTTATTTTGCAAATTTATTCGACGGTACAGCAGACATACGAAAAAGAACTTAGTGTTCGCTCTCTTTCTAGTGTTAGTCATGCATATCTAAACACTTCCCAGTATCTAGAACACATTGAGATGAATAGAAAGAATATTGAAACTTAAATCTCAACGCATCTACACACTTTCTATAGGTTCAACAATTGGTACAGTGTTCATCTATTACTGTTATTCTTATCATCATCGTTAATTAATGTTATCCAAATAATAAGCAGAATATTCACAGTTGAAGTGAAAATAAATCCAGTTCTTCAGAGACCAACAGTCCCGATTCTTATTTAACCTACATATTGTCTTCTGAATTTCAGTTATAAGAAGTCAAATATCTTAATTTCGAATTCGTTGATTTAAGTGAAACCAGTGAATTTCAAGATGTTATCAACGTAACGACATTACTACGTTGCTAAAATCATTATTTCTTACATAATTAACTTACATAATTACTCACTATTCACTATAGTTCTTCAGATCAACAATAGAATTAAACTAAGAGATTTGGTGTGAAAGAGTTTGTAGAGGATGGTTTGATTGATAGAAGATTGGTGTCACCGACTAACATCAGTTGAATGTTCGTTAATAGGATAGGACACATTTGTCCCATCGGTTGACACTCTTCACTCCATTCCATAAATGCATACTAAATGTTTGAAATGAATGAGTTTTGAATAACAAATGAAACCTGTAAAATAATCAATGCTGTATTATCAGTTGATCAACTATGTGATGAAAAACATGAAACACTTTAAAACACTTCACAATCCATTTGTCTAAATACATTGTGTAATGTGAGTTCAAAAATCAATTTAAAGGATTAGGGATTATAAACTAGGAATGTAGTTTACTTTATTACATCATGAACATTAACGAAACAATAATCAAATTATTTTGAATAAATATGAACGGAGTGTATTCAATCATCATAAGAAGATGGGTAGAATTGAAAATTGAATCAGAACATAGAAGAAAAATATTATTCGGCTTATATCATTTTAGATTAAGTAATAACTACTCAATAATCATTGGAAATATAGTGGAATAACACATCTTCATTGTGTAGCAGATTTATGTCAAATATCATATTACATACTACTAAATTACAATCATGAATAAGTAGAATCAACGATTAACAGTGAAAGTATTTGTAACATAAATGATTTGTCTCAGAATAAACATTGAATAAATCTTCATAATTTCTGATGAGTGTTCGGCAACATTTCAGAAGTTTCAAAAAGAATACTTTGTTAATATAAAATGGAGCATGATAAATCTCGGAGAAACTACAATGTGAAATGAAATAATCAATATCACTGTCAGCACAATGAGATTTCCAAACATCATTAGAAAAATTCGAAAGAGCAGGAAACAGACAAAGACTATCATACAAAGTATCATAAAACACATCTTCAGAATAGCGATCAGAATCAGATAAAGAATTAGTAGACGAGGGAACAAAACGTTGAGCACCATGAAAACTAGAAGACGAAAGCGAAAAATTTCGTGAATCAAATGACTCAACAGGAAAAATGGGCGGTTTCAAATCACGTGACATAAAATCCGTAGAAATAACCGGTTCGGACGTCAGAGAAACAGAAGACAATAGTGTGGAATGTGCAGTGTTGAGTGTAGTCTCAGTGTTGATGATGGTGGTGGTGTTGGGCACGACTTGTGCGTTGTCGAGTAATTGTTCTGTTGTGAGTTGCGCCATATCGGTAACTGGTTGTGATGTTGGAGATGCAGATGTTGGTTGTGTGGATTGTGCAGTGTTGAGTGTAGTCTCAGTGTTGATGATGGTGGTGGTGTTGGGCACGACTTGTGCGTTGTCGAGTAATTGTTCTGTTGTGAGTTGCGCCACATCGGTAACTGGTTGTGATGTTGGTGATGCAGCTGTTGGTTGTGTGGATTGTGCAGTGTTGAGTGTAGTCTCAGTGTTGATGATGGTGGTGGTGTTGGGCACGACTTGTGCGTTGTCGAGTAATTGATCTGTTGTGAGTTGCGCCACATCGGTAACTGGTTGTGATGTTGGTGATGCAGATGTTGGTTGTGTGGATTGTGCAGTGTTGAGTGTAGTCTCAGTGTTGATAATGGTGGTGGTGTTGGGCACGACTTGTGCGTTGTCGAGTAATTGTTCTGTTGTGAGTTGCGCCATATCGGTAACTGGTTGTGATGTTGGAGATGCAGCTGTTGGTTGTGTGGATTGTGCAGTGTTGAGTGTAGTCTCAGTGTTGATGATGGTGGTGGTGTTGGGCACGACTTGTGCGTTGTCGAGTAATTGTTCTGTTGTGAGTTGCGCCATATCGGTAACTGGTTGTGATGTTGGAGATGCAGATGTTGGTTGTGTGGATTGTGCAGTGTTGAGTGTAGTCTCAGTGTTGATGATGGTGGTGATGTTGGGCACGACTTGTGCGTTGTCGAGTAATTGTTCTGTTGTGAGTTGCGCCACATCGGTAACTGGTTGTGATGTTGGTGATGCAGATGTTGGTTGTGTGGATTGTGCAGTGTTGAGTGTAGTCTCAGTGTTGATGATGGTGGTGATGTTGGGCACGACTTGTGCGTTGTCGAGTAATTGTTCTGTTGTGAGTTGCGCCACATCGGTAACTGGTTGTGATGTTGGTGATGCAGATGTTGGTTGTGTGGATTGTGCAGTGTTGAGTGTAGTCTCAGTGTTGATGATGGCGGTGGTGTTGGGCACGACTTGTGCGTTGTCGAGTAATTGTTCTGTTGTGAGTTGCGCCACATCGGTAACTGGTTGTGATGTTGGTGATGCAGATGTTGGTTGTGTGGATTGTGCAGTGTTGAGTGTAGTCTCAGTGTTGATGATGGTGGTGGTGTTGGGCACGACTTGTGCGTTGTCGAGTAATTGTTCTGTTGTGAGTTGCGCCACATCGGTAACTGGTTGTGATGTTGGTGATGCAGATGTTGGTTGTGTCGATTGTGCAGTGTTGAGTGTAGTCTCAGTGTTGATGATGGTGGTGTTGTTGGGCACGACTTGTACGTTGTCGAGTAAGTGTTCTGTTGTGAGTTTCGCCATATCGGTAACTGGTTGTGATGTTGGTGATGCAGATGTTGGTTGCGTGGATTGTGCAGTGTTGAGTGTATTCTCAGTGTTGATGATGGTGGTGATGTTGGGCACGACTTGTGCGTTGTCGAGTAATTGTTCTGTTGTGAGTTGCGCCACATCGGTAACTGGTTGTGATGTTGGTGATGCAGATGTTGGTTGTGTGGATTGTGCAGTGTTGAGTGTAGTCTCAGTGTTGATGATGGTGGTGGTGTTGGGCACGACTTGTGCGTTGTCGAGTAATTGTTCTGTTGTGAGTTGCGCCACATCGGTAACTGGTTGTGATGTTGGAGATGCAGATGTTGGTTGTGTGGATTGTGCAGTGGTGAGTGTAGTCTCAGTGTTGATGATGGTGGTGATGTTGGGCACGACTTGTGCGTTGTCGAGTAATTGTTCTGTTGTGAGTTGCGCCACATCGGTAACTGGTTGTGATGTTGGAGATGCAGATGTTGGTTGTGTGGATTGTGCAGTGGTGAGTGTAGTCTCAGTGTTGATGATGGTGGTGGTGTTGGGCACGACTTGTGCGTTGTCGAGTAATTGTTCTGTTGTGAGTTGCGCCACATCGTTAACTGGTTGTGATGTTGGAGATGCAGATGTTGGTTGTGTGGATTGTGCAGTGTTGAGTGTAGTCTCAGTGTTGATGATGGTGGTGGTGTTGGGCACGACTTGTGCGTTGTCGAGTAATTGTTCTGTTGTGAGTTGCGCCACATCGGTAACTGGTTGTGATGTTGGATGATGCAGATGTTGGTTGTGTGGATTGTGCAGTGTTGAGTGTAGTCTCAGTGTTGATGATGGTGGTGGTGTTGGGCACGACTTGTGCGTTGTCGAGTAATTGTTCTGTTGTGAGTTGCGCCACATCGGTAACTGGTTGTGATGTTGGTAGATGCAGATGTTGGTTGTGTGGATTGTGCAGTGGTGAGTGTAGTCTCAGTGTTGATGATGGTGGTGGTGTTGGGCACGACTTGTGCGTTGTCGAGTAATTGTTCTGTTGTGAGTTGCGCCACATCGGTAACTGGTTGTGATGTTGGTGATGCAGATGTTGGTTGTGTGGATTGTGCAGTGTTGAGTGTAGTCTCAGTGTTGATGATGGTGGTGATGTTGGGCACGACTTGTGCGTTGTCGAGTAATTGTTCTGTTGTGAGTTGCGCCACATCGGTAACTGGTTGTGATGTTGGTGATGCAGATGTTGGTTGTGTGGATTGTGCAGTGTTGAGTGTAGTCTCAGTGTTGATGATGGTGGTGGTGTTGGGCACGACTTGTGCGTTGTCGAGTAATTGTTCTGTTGTGAGTTGCGCCACATCGGTAACTGGTTGTGATGTTGGTGATGCAGATGTTGGTTGTGTGGATTGTGCAGTGTTGAGTGTAGTCTCAGTGTTGATGATGGTGGTGGTGTTGGGCACGACTTGTGCGTTGTCGAGTAATTGTTCTGTTGTGAGTTGCGCCACATCGGTAACTGGTTGTGATGTTGGTGATGCAGATGTTGGTTGTGTGGATTGTGCAGTGTTGAGTGTAGTCTCAGTGTTGATGATGGTGGTGGTGTTGGGCACGACTTGTGCGTTGTCGAGTAATTGTTCTGTTGTGAGTTGCGCCACATCGGTAACTGGTTGTGATGTTGGTGATGCAGATGTTGGTTGTGTGGATTGTGCAGTGTTGAGTGTAGTCTCAGTGTTGATGATGGCGGTGGTGTTGGGCACGACTTGTGCGTTGTCGAGTAATTGTTCTGTTGTGAGTTGCGCCACATCGGTAACTGGTTGTGATGTTGGTGATGCAGATGTTGGTTGTGTGGATTGTGCAGTGTTGAGTGTAGTCTCAGTGTTGATGATGGTGGTGATGTTGGGCATGACTTGTGCGTTGTCGAGTAATTGTTCTGTTGTGAGTTGCGCCACATCGGTAACTGGTTGTGATGTTGGTGATGCAGATGTTGGTTGTGTGGATTGTGCAGTGTTGAGTGTAGTCTCAGTGTTGATGATGGTGGTGGTGTTGGGCACGACTTGTGCGTTGTCGAGTAATTGTTCTGTTGTGAGTTGCGCCACATCGGTAACTGGTTGTGATGTTGGAGATGCAGATGTTGGTTGTGTGGATTGTGCAGTGTTGAGTGTAGTCTCAGTGTTGATGATGGCGGTGGTGTTGGGCACGACTTGTGCGTTGTCGAGTAATTGTTCTGTTGTGAGTTGCGCCACATCGGTAACTGGTTGTGATGTTGGAGATGCAGATGTTGGTTGTGTGGATTGTGCAGTGTTGAGTGTAGTCTCAGTGTTGATGATGGTGGTGGTGTTGGGCACGACTTGTGCGTTGTCGAGTAATTGTTCTGTTGTGAGTTGCGCCACATCGGTAACTGGTTGTGATGTTGGAGATGCAGATGTTGGTTGTGTGGATTGTGCAGTGTTGAGTGTAGTCTCAGTGTTGATGATGGTGGTGGTGTTGGGCACGACTTGTGCGTTGTCGAGTAATTGTTCTGTTGTGAGTTGCGCCACATCGGTAACTGGTTGTGATGTTGGTGATGCAGATGTTGGTTGTGTGGATTGTGCAGTGTTGAGTGTAGTCTCAGTGTTGATGATGGTGGTGGTGTTGGGCACGACTTGTGCGTTGTCGAGTAATTGTTCTGTTGTGAGTTGCGCCACATCGGTAACTGGTTGTGATGTTGGTAGATGCAGATGTTGGTTGTGTGGATTGTGCAGTGTTGAGTGTAGTCTCAGTGTTGATGATGGTGGTGGTGTTGGGCACGACTTGTGCGTTGTCGAGTAATTGTTCTGTTGTGAGTTGCGCCACATCGGTAACTGGTTGTGATGTTGGTGATGCAGATGTTGGTTGTGTGGATTGTGCAGTGTTGAGTGTAGTCTCAGTGTTGATGATGGTGGTGGTGTTGGGCACGACTTGTGCGTTGTCGAGTAATTGTTCTGTTGTGAGTTGCGCCACATCGGTAACTGGTTGTGATGTTGGTGATGCAGATGTTGGTTGTGTGGATTGTGCAGTGTTGAGTGTAGTCTCAGTGTTGATGATGGTGGTGATGTTGGGCACGACTTGTGCGTTGTCGAGTAATTGTTCTGTTGTGAGTTGCGCCACATCGGTAACTGGTTGTGATGTTGGTGATGCAGATGTTGGTTGTGTGGATTGTGCAGTGTTGAGTGTAGTCTCAGTGTTGATGATGGTGGTGGTGTTGGGCACGACTTGTGCGTTGTCGAGTAATTGTTCTGTTGTGAGTTGCGCCACATCGGTAACTGGTTGTGATGTTGGTGATGCAGATGTTGGTTGTGTGGATTGTGCAGTGGTGAGTGTAGTCTCAGTGTTGATGATGGTGGTGGTGTTGGGCACGACTTGTGCGTTGTCGAGTAATTGTTCTGTTGTGAGTTGCGCCACATCGGTAACTGGTTGTGATGTTGGTGATGCAGATGTTGGTTGTGTGGATTGTGCAGTGTT